GGGAGGTGTGTGTGCGTGGGGGGGGTCTTATATGCACATAGTAGGTCATTACATTTGGTTCTTTTCTCTTGTGATCTGTCTCCTGTTGACTTGATGGCTAGACCAGCCGGGAGGACCTGGATGAAGAGGGAAAGGCCCTCCTCCCCCACAGCCGGCCCCACGTGGGACCAGGCGCCCCTGCGAGCGCCTCGGGGGGCCCCCTTTACGTTAAGTCTGACAACGAGCACACACCCTGGCACTGCTGGCAGGGAAGCCTGTCATGACCAGCTCCGTCTCTGGGCAGAAAAGCATTAATGCTCCCACCGCGCAGGCTAGGCCGTCACGGGAGGCCTGTGAGCCCCTGTCTCGAACCCCTTACCTCCGAGGAGCAGGCCCTGGGGCTGGGGGTCAACGTGTCCAAGCACGTGCTGAGAGGCAGTGGGCCGGCCACACGGCCACATCGGTCCTGGGGCCTGGCTCCTACCTGGGTGCGTCTCCGCCGCCCGCGCTCCTGGGCTGCTCCTCCGGCTTCCTCTTTGTGCTCCGACTGTTCCCGGGTGGCTGTAGGGATTCCGGACTCGGCGCTGACGAGGTCCTCTGAGCCGGGAAAGAGAAATTAGAGAGGAAATCAATCAAATAGGAATCTCTGAAAACACAAACACATTTCTCCACGGGCCTCTGACCACAATCCTCAAGGGCTGGACTGAGCACCCACCAATGGGGCAAAGCCGCACTTTGAGGACAAGTGGTAGCATCTCACGGAGAAGATCAGCGGTTCCAGGGAGGAGGAGCTCTGTGAGTGAGGAACCAGGCGGGGCACCTCCCCCGTGGGGTCCTCGCTCCCTGGAGACAGTGGGCGCATGTCCTCTAAGACCTTAAAGGATCCCGTGTGTTCGAGTCACGCATTTTCCTCCCCCTCCCCCAACCGTGGTTTTGCTCAGCAGAATTCAGCTGGGAAACTAGGGAGAAATTAGGGGCGGAGCCCTGGCCAACTTGGCTCAGTGGATAGAGCGTCGGCCCCTGGACTGAAGGGTCGTGGGTTTGACCCCAGTAAAGGGCATGTACCTCAGGTGCAGGCTCGATCCCCGGCCCCAGTAGTGGCCCGTGCAGGAGGCAACCAATCAGTGTGTCTCTCACATGTCAGTGTTTCTCTCTCTCTCTCTCCCCCCCCCTTCCCCTCCTTCCCTTCCTCTCTCTCTAAAAATCAATGGAAAAAATATCCCCGGGTGAGAATTAGCGACAACAAAGTGTCACTCGTGGCTGAAAATGTTCCCTATCGTCCCCCAAGAATCACAACCCAGAGGGAGCGGCATTTTCACGTGAGGGTCCGGGTTTTTAGAACCGGAAGCTCGCCCCTACTTGGCTGACGGCACAGGGGCCTGAGCGGCAAACGCCTCCCGCAGCCAGGCCTTCGCCGTGAGTGATGCCTCAGCATTGGTCAGACACGGCTCCTGCCCGCCAGCCCACGGTCAAGGCCACTTTAAGGTCGTTCTGAAGAGACACCGCAGCCTCACAGGCAGAGGCAGCAACAGGGGGGGCAGGGAGAGATCTTCGCTCCAACTCGGGGCCACAGGCCGACCTTCCTCCGTCACAGGAAACAGGCCCTGGGCTCAGGTTCCTCCTCGAAGGAGCCACGAGGGAGGCCTCTCCCCCTTCCAGCCCCGCCTCCCCCAGCGGGACGCCAGGGCAGCGCCCCCCCCCATCCCGCAGACCCTGAGCGAGGAGAGAGCAACAGCGCGGCCGAGGGGAAGGCGTCCCACTTTTCAAGTTCAGTGCCAAGGCGCTGTGGGCAGAGCAGGCGGGAAAGGGACTTCCGTCTTCCATGTCCCGGGGAGAAGCCAGGCTGTGGGGGAGCTGGGCCAGGTCTCGCTGCAGTCATAACAACACCCCCCCTTGTTAACCAACGTCACCCCAATAAATGCAATGATAAGAACACCCAGCGCCTACGCGACACTTCACCGGCTGGAACCATCATCGCACACGGGTAACAATAAACAGCCCGTGTGCGAGTTCCCGCTCATTCAGGCCTCACAGCAGCCATTTCACGGGCAGACCCCTGAGCACAGAGACAGGAAGCCACCGGCCCAAGGCCACACGGCGCGGGGGGGTGGGGCGTCCAGGACGTGGACCAGAGGGTTTGGGTCCGGAGCCTGTGCTGCTGACCCCGACCTCATGCTGCGTCCGCTGACAGTGGACATGGCTGCGCGTGGTCACTGCCCCCTCCCTGCCTCGCTCCCAGTGGCTGAGACAACTGGACGGGACTGCAGAGCGCGGCCAGGGTCACCCCCGGAACAGCCTGCACGGAGAGGCGCCCAGAAAGGCTGGCGAGTGTGTGAAACGCGATCACCCCCCTCCGCCTGGGGCCGCGTCTGCGAATCGGCGAAGCGCACCCCGCCCTCGGAGCCCTCGCTTCTGCCAGGCCCGCCAGCGTCCTGGCCTCCTCCCGCCCTGGCTGAGTAAACACAGCCTCTCCCTGGCTCAGCGCCTGCGTCTGTGTTAACAGGACACTTTCCCAGGAGCCCGAGTGTTTCGCCACCAAAAAAAAATTCCCACCTGACCGGTGTGGCTCAGTGGGTAGAGCACTGGCCCAAGGACTGAAGGGTCCCGGGTTCGAATCCAGTCAAGGGCACATGCCTGGGTTGTGAGCTTGATCCCCGTTAGGGGGCGTGCAGGAGGCAGCCGATCCATGATTCTCTCTCCTCATTAATGTTTCTGTCTCTCTCTCCCTCTCCCTTCCTCTCTGACATCAATAAAAATCTATATTTTTAAATCCCGTGGCTCCCTGGTTGTGCCAACAAGGGCTCCGGACGCGGTTAGACCGGACCAGCGTCTCGCCGACGCGCCCCCTCTCTGCCCGAGCTTCGGGGAGCAGCGTGGCTGCTGGTGAGGCCGGGACGGGAGCAGAGGTCGCCCACGACATGGGATCCGGCTTCAGAGCCACTGCCGGCCCCCAAACGCGCAGCAGGGCCCGTGCTGTCCCACGAAGGCCGCGCCCAGTCCAGGCCTGCGAGGCCGTCCCAAAGGCCTCCACCTCCGAGGCAAAAAGCCAATCGGAGCAGCTCGCCACGGCGGCCTCCATGTCCCCGCGGGCACCTGGCCAGGCCTCGAAGGAGGAGGCCCCAAGGGTGGGATTCAGGCCTCCCCCACGGGATGTGGTAGAACAATGAACAAGCGTTAGGTCAGAGAGCGCTGGGTTCGAATCCCCCGTTCCCGGCGGGGGGCGGGGGGGGCACCTTTCCTGCGAAGGGCCGTGTGGATCTGACCGCATCCTTCGAGGCCGCACAAAACAACCAGCTGAACCAGCGCCTGCTCTGTTTGGTCAAACAATTAATCAGCTCACCGACGCCTTGGCAGGGCCAGACCCAATGATGTCCCTGGCCTCCTACGGCTCAAGGGCCGGACGTTCCCCACCCCTGGATCGATGCACCACAGCTCGTTTATCCAGTCGTCTGTGTTTCTAAAAATATTTGTTTATTGATTTCAGAGAGGAAGGGAGAGGGAGAGAGAGAAAGATCAATGATGAGAGAGAATCATGGATCGGCTGCCTCCTGCACGCCCCTCTCTGGGGATCGAGCCCACATCCCAGGCCTGTGCCCTGACCAGGAATCGAACTGGTGACCTCCTGGTTCATGGGTCTATATCAGGGGGGGGCAAACTTTTTGACTCGAGGGCCACAATGGGGTCTTAAACTGGACCGGAGGGCCGGAACAAAAGCATGGATGGGGTGTTTGTGTGAACTCATATAAATTCAAAGTAAACATCATTACATAAAAGGGGACGGTCTTTTTTTTTTTTTAGTTTTATTCATTTCAAACGGGCCGTGGTTTGCCCACGGCTGGTCTATATGCTCAGCCCCTGAGCCACGCCGGCCGGGCTGGCTGTTCTGAATTAACATCGTCTTGAATTCCCAGCCACTGCAATTGGGCCAAAAGCAAATAAACAAACAAATGAAACGGACACCGATCTGAAGAGCGGAAATGCCGCTCTCCCTGCAAACGCCGTACCCGTCTACAGAGAACGTGCCAGGGGTCGGCCACAAACCTCACGGCACTGACCAGCCAGTTCACAAAATCACAGGACACGAGCGATCCACCCGCAAAGTCCGCACCCGGACAACGCGCCTGCGGAAACCCACATGGAAACGTGACGCCCCTACAACCGCCGCAGAGAAACGAAATGCTTGGGCACAACCTCGGGACGCACGCAGAGTGTCCCCGCTGAACCTGATGAGGCCGTGAAACAAACCCAAGGAGACCTTCATGACGAGACACACCACGTGCTCATGGACCGAAGGCTGACGTAGGCAAGACGTCCGTTCTCCCCACATTGATCTGTAGGTTTAACGTCCTTCCTAGCCCGATCCCAGCAAAGGATTTTGTAGACACAGAAAAGCTTATCCTACAATTCACATCAACAGCCGTCGGCCCTGGAATAGCTAAACAATCTCGAAAAATCGCAAAGCGGAAGGAATCGCTCTGCCCGGCCTCAGCCACCGAGAGCGCAGGGGAGCAGCGGGAGAGAGACACGCAGACCAGCGACTTGGAAGAGAAGCAGAGGCAGCCCACACGGCACAGCCAGCTCCGGCCTCCGGGGCAAGGGGAACAGGTTCCACGCGTGGGACTGAGGGGCGAGCGGTGACGGGCCAGACACACACACAACCGCGAACCTCACCCTGAATCTCAGACCTTCCACACAACGCACTCAAATGGGTCATGGATTTAACTCTAAAGCTGTAGAATTTTTAGAGAGAAAATTGTCAGGACGTCAGGGCTGCACAAAGAGTTCTTGGGTTTGGGGCCGAAAGCCCTGCCCGTGACGGGAAAGCTGACAAACCCGCCTCCTAGAAGCTGCTGCTGCGAAGACCGTGCGCAGAGGACGGACGCCGAGCGGGAGCGGGAGGAGGGATCCGCAACCACGTCCGGCGAAGGGGTGGTCTCCGGGCCGTGGAGAGAACTCTCCAACGCAACAGTGAAAAAAACGCGGTTAGAAAACAGACAAACACACGAGCATGTGTTTCGCCGAGAGAATCCGCAGATGGCAATGAGCTCATTACGACGCTCGACATCCGCTTACCAGGGAACACACAGCAGAGCCGCCCCCGGGAGCCGCCCCACCCCCAGGCCTGGCCTTGC